GCCCTCTGCTAGATAATGACCCGCAATATGCCCATAAAACGATTGCTCTTTTATATTAATTTTTTGCGCATATCAAACATTACCGAAAACAAGTCAACTATAATTAAATTATTTTCTACTTACTTTTTACAGTAAATTCTAAGAAAGCAACGTTATGTAAAAATCGTAAGCAAATCGTAAAGTATTTTGTTTGTGTAAAATAATATTACACAAACAAAATACATGGGCAAAAATTACCGATCAACGAGTTACCGTGTACCAAGCTCGGTGGGAAGAAATCTATTACAAATTTGATTGCTCAGAATTTAAAAATCAGTACAAATCAGTACAAATTTAAAAAAATCAGGACATAAGCGTACTTATTGAAAGAATGAATAAAATCAGTACGAAAGTTGAAAAATCAGTACTGTACTGTACTAATAAAATCAGTACGTCTGGCAACCGTAAGTGTTGCACAGTGGAGCGGATGCAAGAAACCCACCCCGAACCGATGAGCTCAGCCAGGAACCACGAGCTTGCCGAATTGCCACTCCGCCCTGCAACAAATCTACTGCTACACAACAGATCTTATAATTTTTTAGACAGGTTGCAACCCTATAGAAATTCTAAATAACAAAGGACACGCTCCTGTCTATTCAGAATATGTTAGAGAAAAACTCGTCTAAATTCGTTCAGTAGTTTTCAATATTAGCGCATTCAAAGGATCTCTACTTTTCTTTATACTATGTGTAGATAATTAGGAGCTTTTCAACAGGTGACAACCCTACTAAAAACATTAAAGCTTTTGTACATGCGAAGGCCAGGCCCTTTCATTTGATATCTCATTTTGTTATCCAACGAACGGTGAAGAACTTTTAACTTTTTATTAGGTGGCGATCCTACTCAGAAAAATAATCCATTATTGCACATCTAGAGGTCAAATCTTTTCGTTTGACAGCGACGGTGTAGAACTGATCGCTTCGCTTATTATGATCGCATATTGTAATTTTATTAATAAGTGGCAACCCTATTCAAATATATAAAACACTAGCAGACCCGTCGAACTTCGTCCCGCCCAAAATTTTCTTTCTTTTTGGTCCAAAAATTTCACCAACAATTCACGTTCACGATTTTCATTGGCACATTCATCTGCTAAGATTATGGTTTGGTGGTCATTTGCCGCTTTAAATAACCTAAAGAAAGTGAATCCGTGAAGTGATCCGTGAAGAAGTTCTTGAAATTCTCCAACTGTGCAGCATTTCATAGCACGGTTATTCGCAAAACGAAATAGATTTGAAGAATCTTTTCCTCTTCACTCCCTGGCGGCAACAATGAGCCGGTTCTATAGTGAATCTGTCGTAGAAGCTTTACAGTATAGTTGGTGGAAATTTCAAAATGGGTGGGAATCATTGTTCTACAGAAATGCAATATACATATACTTATTTCAGACGAAATACCTTAAAAGCTTGAACGCATAATAATATTGGAAAATCACATCCATTGGGCCAATCGTAACACAGGAGAGTTCAATATACTCAATGGTGCAACAGGTTGATTTAATCTGACCTTCACGGCAACTTTTCTCACTTGGCTATTTTTAGTAATAACTCGTCTCCAGCGCCACTTGGCAGCACGTTTTTGTAATAGTATTGCTCTTACCATGACCAATACATATTTAAAATATTAGCCAAATGAAGTCATAAATAAGGTTTTTAGTAATAAATAAACTACAGCGCTACTGGCGGATTGAATTGTGAAACTAAACCATCCAGAGCCACTGAAACACACACAAAAAATTTAGTTAAAATCCGTACAATTATTTAGAAGGATTTCACTCACAAACACACCTACAGAAGAATGATAAATACATTCAAAGATAGCTTAAAGTCAGTCACGCCCCCTTTTCATTCATATACATACAAATCTCCAGACGAAGTTCCAGTACTCTACCATTACCATTAATACTTTCAGAGATATGCAGTATAAAATTTCGGTTTGTATGGGAGGTGCCACGCCCTCTTTACCAATAGCTCCCATTTTTCTTCATCAGTATGCGATTGATTTCATATATCTCCATACTAAGTTCCAATACTCTACCATGGACATTTCCAGAGATATGCAGTATAAAATTTCGGTTTGTATGGGAGGTGCCACGCCCTCTTTACCAATAGCTCCCATTTTTCTTCATCAGTATGCGATTGATTTCATATATCTCCATACTAAGTTCCAATACTCTACCATGGACATTTCCAGAGATATGCAGTATGAAAAATTCGGTTTGTATGGGAGGTGTAACGCCTCCTTTACATATAGAATTTTTTAGCCGTAAACCATCCTTGAACACGTGCGGCAGGTGTCTGAAGTTTCAAAATAATCGGTTCAGCCGTTCTTGAGCTTTGCGGACACTAAAAAAACGGCTTTCAAAATATATATTAGTACACTGAGGAAAAAAAATATTAAAATCAAATAGAAACGTAATTGATCTTACTATAAACGTCAACAAAAGTACTGTATATTGGTAAATATTCAATTCAATTACGCGCATATTAAAATGACCGCGTTCGTACTGAAAAAGCATCCGTGAAGTGCATAATCAAGACAAAAACTAAAAAAAAAAATTAATTTGCTTGTTGCCTGCAGTGGAATTCGAACCCGGCCATCTTCGGATATCAACAACTTGTGGCAAGCATCTTTGCGCACTCAGCTACACCCAGGCATATAAATTTGCTTCCAAATGTTAAATATCCATCAACACCACAGCACGCGATTTGTACGGATAACCATGTATGTACTATGTATGTATGTGTGTGTTGTCACGGCTCTCAGAGCGGCGGTCTGCATGCTAGGGGTGCGTATGTACACTTACATATACATACTCAGATGTGAACAGTCAAATACGTGCGTAACAAATTTTGTATGAAAATATTATTTTTAAATACGAATATTTTTAAACGATATTCAAATCTAAAGTATTCATTTTCACTATGCATTATTTCCCTCAGTGTATATATATATTATATATCTTTTGTTTCCGATTGCCACGAAAAAAACTTGCCTAGTGACGGATTCGCCCCTTGATATGGTGGTTGCTCAAAGCTATTTATATTCGAAATTGCATGAAAATTCGAAAACAGGATCCTATAAGCTTATCTAGGCAAAAAGCTAACTTCGTACAAAATTTTAATCAAATCGGACCATGGATAAGATTTTTCGAATAGATCGGTCCCTGGTCCACTTCGCGCAAAAAAAGGATCCTATATGCTAATCTAGGCAAAAAGCTACCTACGCACCAAATTTTAAGCAAATCGGATCATAAATACGATTTTTTCGAATAGATCGGACCCTGGTCCACTCCCAGAAAAAAGGATCCTATATGCTAATCTAGGCAAAAAGCTACCTACGCACCAAATTTTAAGCAAATCGGATCATAAATACGATTTTTTCGAATAGATCGGACCCTGGTCCACTCCCAGAAAAAAGGATCCTATATGCTAATCTAGGCAAAAAGCTACCTACGCACCAAATTTTAAGCAAATCGGATCATAAATACGATTTTTTCGAATAGATCGGACCCTGGTCCACTCCCAGAAAAAAGGATCCTATATGCTAATCTAGGCAAAAAGCTACCTACATACCAAATTTTAAGCAAATCGGACCATAAATACGATTTTTTTTTAATAGATCGGTCCCTGGTCCACTTCACGGAAAGAAGAGGATCCTATATACTAATCTAGACAAAAAGCTACCTACATACCAAATTTTAAGCAAATCGGACCATAAATACGATTTTTTTTTAATAGATCGGTCCCTGGTCCACTTCACGGAAAGAAGAGGATCCTATATACTAATCTAGACAAAAAGCTACCTACATACCAAATTTTAAGCAAATCGGACCATAATAAGATTTTTTCGAATAGATCGGTCCCTGGTCCACCTACCAGAAAACAGTAAATTTTTTTTTTGCCTAAAACATGGTGGTTGCTGCAGGCTATTTTTTTACAAAATTTCATGAAAGTCGGACCAGCCGTTCGCGAGATGTTACAAAAAAAGGGACTTGTCTTTATATAATTAATATAGATTATTGCTTTTCTAGAGGCCTCATCTTTTGTAATCTAACGAACGCTGCAGATGTTATAGTTTTTTAGACAGGTAGCAACCATATTAAAATTCTAAATAAAAAAGGTCACTCTCCTATCGATACAGAGGATATTAGAGAAAATGTCGTCAAAATTCGTTCAGTAGTTTTCGAGATTACCGCGTACAAAGGCTCCCGACTTCCCTTTATACTATGTATAGATTTACACAGACACCCAAATTTAAACAAAAGTAAATTAAATTAAAGGAATTAAAAACTAAAAATAAAAATATGTACACCACAAACCCAAGTGTTAACAGTCCTGCGAAATTTATATTTATATCTATGTATGTTAAATTAAAATACATATTTGATTTTTTTCTAGCACGTCGAGATTTTTTTTATCGGTGGCGTGCTTATTTTAGGATTTTTTTTACTTAAAAACCAACAGCATTAGATAAAAAATACCCATAAGTAGACTAATTAAATAAGAAAAACGTATCTAATTTTGAAGTTAACGCTAAGAAAATTGATAAAAGTTATTTTCTTAGCGGTAGTATTACTAGCGTTAACTTCGAAATTACTTAACTTATTCTGATTTGCTTAGTCTCTTTATGGGTATTTTTAACTAGTGCTATTGGTTTTTAAGTGAAAATTCCGTTCTAATTACATAAGAATTTTTGGCTTTTCATGCAAATTGCTAAAAATCCTAAAATATGCACGCCACCGATAAAAAAAAGTCTCGAATTGCTAAAAAATACTAAAATATACGTCACCAATAAAAAAATCTCGACGTGGTAGAGAAAAATTAAAGATTTACGTTAATTTAACATACAATTCAAAAAGTAACATAATTTTTGGAATTGGGTAACAAAATTTAGTTTTCGCAGGCCTGTGTTATTAGTGCGTTTGTGAAGTGTTCCTTAGTATTTTCAATGCTACTTACCTATATGCCATTCGTATTTGGGAACCATTTTTGTACCAAATCAACTGCGCCGGTGGATTTCCTCCTCTGCTCCGACATATAAGTTCTACCGTTTGGCCTCTTCGCAAAATTTCACCTTGTGTATAACCCTCAACGTAAGGTGGTCCGGGAGGATCTGAAACGAATATATCGTTTAATAATGCCAATCTCAATCAATATTGGAAATATTTGTTCCACTTTGGCTCTCAAAGTACTGAACAGTGATGCCAGACATTCTCCGTTAAAAGTCCCACGAAAATCGGGTAAAGATCCCTCAATTACCAACATTTTAAAAATGTATCCCACAAAATTCCCAAAGAATTCCAAACTTATCATATTTCAGTAGTAAAGAAGTAACATCCATAAAACAATAATAATAGATTGGCGCTTACACATATGTTAGTGTTTGGCCGAGCTTCTCCGTTTTGTGGCGTGCGTTAAGAAAAAACCTTTTTCTACATTTTTCTGCGATGTTGCTTTGACCAGGGCTTGAAGCCAGGCCCTGCGGAGTGGAAGCGCGCACTGCCTAGGTACTAAACCGATTTACATAATTCTTTTTTTTTTTAATGAAACATTTACGAAAAACAACAGATGCATACTTATTTTTTTATTCTTGGAAGATAAATACCCTTTTTTGGGTGTAAAGTTATAAAAAAGGCAGAGGCGTGCAAGCATCTGACTATTTGATCGCCAAATACAGCGCATAGCAACGTGAAAATTCCGTACATCAGTATCCATCAAACACAAGGTCCCAAACGCGAACACGATGTGTGTGTGCGACGTATATGCGCTGTAGTATCCCTGCAGAGAAACCGCGGATTAGCGAATCAAATTTCTAGTTCCGTACTAGGTATTTATCGCCAAAAACGGACTAGTCCGATAGTAAAACAATTTAATGCTTTTTCCTAAAGTTTGGCAGTAAGTTTATTGTAGCAGGAGATTACAATGCCAAACACACATTCTGGGGATCTAGATGGATTACACCAAAAAGGTAGAAATCTTTATAAAGTAATCCAGAACACAGGATTTGACGTTTTGTCTACTGGTCAGCCAACGTATTGGCCATCTGACCCCCAAAAAATAATCGATCTTATTGACTTTGGTGTAACAAAGGGTATTGCGCGACACCGAGTTAATACTGAAACATTATTTTATCTCTGTCAGATCATGCACCTTGCCTCATAACATTATCAATGTTTATTAATTATGAGAAAAAACAAAAAAATCTTACATATGTGACCTGGTCTACGGAAAGGGGGCTTAGGTGTCAAAAAATCAATTTTCACTTTTTGGTTGATTCGGATGGAAGATGAGATGCTTTTTCACGTGGTGAAAAGCAGAAAATCCTAACTTGCTTAGAAGTG